ACTGACAACAACAGCAATAAGAAAACAGAAAAAGAAAAAAAACAAATTCCGTTTTTTGGAAGGAAAGAGAAAAAGATCGATTAAATGTCCAAAGAATTCAAAATCTTACAATCTATACTAAGAGTCTCTTTGTTTTTTCTTTTTTTGTGCCTCTCATTTAATTTTCATAATTTTCATATAGCTTCCTCTTTTCAGTTTTCGATGATCTGCTGTTTTTTGTTTCTTGTTTTTGTAATAAAAAGCCATACAGGTTTGTAAGGGTATTTTAAAAATCATGCTTTCGTTCGTAATACATTATTATTAATTTAAAATTGATCAAATTAAAAATTAAGACGAAATCCTTTAATTTAAAACAAAATTTAGAACGAGAAGAAAATCAGCTTTGATAAAGTGCGTATGTAGCGCACGAAATATATTAGCGAAAAATAAAAAGTATTTTATTCCGAATAAAAGGAAGTTTTCTTTTCACACCAATAAAAAAAAAAACAAAATTTAAATTTTGTTACAATTGTAATGTCATTTATAATTATTATATATTAAAATTTATTCAATATTAATAAATTATTTTACTCTATAGTTCGACAAATTGCATGATTCTAAACGACATAATGTATATTTTGTATGTCATCAAAAATATATTCGGCTATACATTACAATATTTTCGATCAGAGTATGAATTGAGTACGAATTTAACGTTCAAGCCGATTTAAAACATGAGTTTAATTAAAAACCGGCGCTCGGTTCGATTCAAACCATATACTCTCTCAAACATATCGAATTATTAATGATACATAACATTTAATTAGTTTAAATCAAACTTATTTATTGTTATGTATTAAACATTTTCTTAAAAAAAATTTAGAAGATATATTTCGAAAGTTATACGTTTATTGTAGAACATGAATTGTCAAACATCATTATGTATCACGTATTCTTACCTCTCGTCCTAACACTAATTATAATTTATGTCAAACAGAAACACTAATATTAAATATAATTATGACATAACTGTAATATGACATAGAGTCAGTATAATGTTGAGACTGAAACAATAAACAAAATTGAGAATATACTAAAAACGGAATTATTATTTCATAGCAAACATCACATATACGCTATTACAATGTTTAACAAAATATTAAAAATATCTTGATGAATTTTCAAAAAAAAAAAATTTCTTTATAATTTAATTTAATTTTCTTAATTTTTTTTAATAATTTAACTTTAGAGGAAGACATTTTTTGGAAATGGATTTATCCAATTTATTGTTATATATGTGTATTATTGTTATAATATTTATATAACAATTTGATTTTTAAAAATAATTTAAGGCAACATGATTCTCATTCAATTTTAATAAGAAATTCAAATACGATCATACACAATATTTAAAATAACTTGAATCATACATACAACAAAAATTTGTTCCAACCAAAATCATTTTGATTCATCTGAACTTATGTAGAATTAAGACTAAATATTTTTTCATTTTTGATTACTTTAAACAGTCTGTCATATTATACTTTATTAAAATATAAAAAAAATTATAAATAATAATAATCTCTTCCTGTATGAAAATTCGAATTGAAAAGATTAAAGTGATTTGAACATACATTTTGTATGGACCTACATAAATGTAAAAAATTTTTTAAATATTTCCTATAAATTTTATTACTCAGAAATTTTGTATTCACTTAATCATTTTAAGTATAAATACATTATAAAATATAAAATATGAAAAAAAATATGTATATATGGATGTGTTCATACATATGTATATGAATATTTTAAGTACATACATTTAATTTATATATTGTCATTTGTCAATATTCTTATTAAATATAAGTATGTAAATATTTTAAATTTAATTTAAAAAAGAGGAAAATAAAAAAATTCATCATCCAAGGATTATACTTATTTCAAGTGTATATATATATGTATACGTTATATATATAGTTAATTTATGAAAGTTCATTAAATGTATCCATACATAATGAATGTATTTTGTCCGCATTCCTTATTATAAAAACATGACTAATGATATGTTTTAGTTTGTATACAATAATCATAAGAAAATAAGGAGAGTCATCTATACTATATATAATAAATTAATGTTATATGAATAATACGAGTATGCAATATATATGTATATACATATGCAAGTAAAATGATGATAAAAATCTAAACAAAAATTCTAAAATTAATAACAGTAAATTATTAATAGTAATTTTTCAAAATGAACGACCACCACCATCTTTATAATATGTGTAGCGAACACTTCAGGGGGTGTCTTTTTCTTGTTTTTTTATTTTTGTTTTTTAATATAAAATTATGTCACAAACTTATATACATAATGTAATATGTATTTATGATCTTTAAATTGATTTTTATTTATTTTTCTAAAGAATCATGTTAAAATTTTTTATTCTCCTGCAACTGTTTTTTTTTTTTTTTTTTGATTAGAGCAATATGATAACTGTAATTTTAAGTATTCTGAAAAATTAGATAGAATTTTTCTTCTCATAATTTAAGTATTCTGTTATACTGATCCTTTACTTTTACATGACAACCGATCTATCCTATAGTAAGTGTCCTAGTATGACATGAAACAACACAAATCTATTTACCTTATAAATATTTATACTTTTATTCGATCGTAAAACTCTAAAACTGTAATATTTTCAAGAAATACTTTTATAATGCCACCATTTTTTTTAATTTCTTGAAAAAAAAAGCAAGAAAAATTTGAAAAAAATTGTTTTTTATACCCTGCACCGTTTCGAACGGTATATTAATTTTGGTATGGAGTTTGTAACCATTTGAAGGAGTTTTCTGCTGTATTAAAATGTTATATATTCTTGCTCACCGCAAAATTCTGTATTAATTTAGTCCGTCTGTCCATCCGTCTGCCCAAGCGCCCGATAACTCAAAAACGTATAAAACAAATGCGACCAAACTTTAACAAATTGCTTGTTTTGCACCTATTGTTATTGGGCCAATTCGGGCAATGCAATTGGATAGCTGTTATACAACTCAAAGAGATTATTTTAAATATTTCAAAAACTAACAAAGATATAAATATGAAATTTTGTTTACACATGTGTCCAATTAAATTTTACATACGCTCTAAAAATTTTAATGGAATGGATACAGTGGTTCGGGTAGCTGCTATACAACCCCAAAACCTAATTTTATTCATTCGGAAAAAATAATAAAGCTATAGATTCATAAAATTTGGCAATTGTGTGTCCAATTATAGATTAGATATATCTGTGAAATTTTTGTGGAATTTTCGGACAGATTCGAGCCATACAATTATGAAAGCTAATTCTAAATTCAAAAATAAATCTTTATACTCAGATTGTCAAAGTGCAGGGTATAATTCAGTCAGTTTAGACTCGTTTTGTTCTTGTTTGTGTTTACGTTTTTTTTTATGGATTGGTTTGGTTTGGTCTGCTTTAAAAAAGAGTAGAAGAAAATGAGAAAATAAAATTATTTTTTTTTATAAAAATGATGATAAGTTAATAAGGGGCCAAAATGAGGGCTCATTTTTTTTTCCTGTTTTTTTTTTTTTTTTTCAAATTCATTTACCACACTCTGTCAAAAGATTATATTTCCTCTATATATATATTCTTTTTAAACAATATAATAAAATAAAAGAAAAAACTATTCGGTATTTGCTATTGCTTGCCCCGCTATTGCTTTGCTATTGTGCTTGTCATATAAGTAAGAAAACAAAAAAATCAACTGTTAGACAATAATTAACAATTTACTTTCTCTTGAGAAATTTCGAAAAAAAAATTAAGTAAAAATAGAATTGGAAAAAATTTGAAATTTTCAATTTTTTTTTTCATTTTTTTTTTTCAGTTTCTAGTATGATTTAGTTGAACTTTTAACTAATAAATCATACGGAATTTATTTTTATACAAGTATGTGTGTTTGTTTGAATGTTATGTGCGTGTATTATAGATAATATTAAAAGTTCTGCCAATATTATTATAGTTTGATGTGCCATTTTGAAAAATCTGCTGGAAATCATAAATTAACTTTGATTTATGGGGTTAATTAAAAGCGTTTTTATGGTTGATTTTTGTTTTTTTTGGTGCTTATTTCATTTTATTTCTTCTTCAATACTGTTGCTTTTTTGTTTTCTATTTTTTTTTTCCTAAATTTGTATAGAGTAAGATGCGCGGTTTATTATATTAACAAGTTATTGTTGAAATTAGTGTTAAAAGCGCTAAATTTCCCTCGTTTTTATTCGATTTTATGATTTTCTTTTTATTATTTTCAATATTTTTGTGTTTTTCATTATAATTTTTGTTTTATTAGTTGCTTTAATTTCAAATTGTTTAAACAAAAATTAAAAAAAAAAAAAAACTTTTGTAATTTAATTTTTTGTTTCTGGTTTTTTGTTGTTTTTGAAAAGAAAAAAATTGTTCACACAAACAATGATTAACCCACTTTTATTTTGTATAAAGATAGTAAAAGTTATAAAATATATAAGGTAATAATAATAATATTTGTACAGGCGCTTTTTTATTTTTTTATTTCAAAAACAAAAAACTTTCTTTATTGTAAAAATGAACAATAAAATTAGTAAATTTTACGGTGACCGTTGAATTTACAGGTTTATAATAATAAAAATTTTCAAATTCTGTCACATTAATGAAATTTTATAAAACAAATGGTTTAAATTAAAAATGTATATACAGTTAATTTAAGGGGTGTTAAACAAGTTCAGCTTTAAAAATTATTTAACACGACCGGCTTTTATATAGTAAATAATATAATTATCAGAAATGTAGGAAATTTTTTGAAAGCAATTGGGCTACATGCAATTGAAAAAATATATTTGATTTGAGTTTTAATAATCAATAATAAATTCTTATAGAAAATTCTTGAAAATTTTAAATGTTACACGGTAATATTATGATTATAGCCCATTAAATTTTTATAATCAAAATATTTTTAAGTTTCCTTAAAATAAAACTAGATTATAATTATTTTTTAATACTCCTTGTCGTAGTAAAAATCTCAGTAACTCTAACCTTTAGTAACTCACCACCATTTTCTTTTCCATCTTCATTAAATGATGATGATTTCACTGTACATTCTGATAGCAGCACTTTGTGCGTCTAAATAATAATTGTTTTGATTCTTTCGTGCAATATTAATTTGTATGATAAAGTATCGCAATTATTAAGCCTAATTCGTGTGATAAATAAGAATGAACATGAAGGTATAGTAATCGACAAGCCATCGTAGGACAGATAACACTGGTAGGCCAAATCCGTCCCAGTGATAATAATCTACAATGGTACCTATAAATGCTGCTGATTTTTTTAACTTATAATTTTTTAAAGTTTCTAATTTCAAATTTTTCTAATATTTATTCCTTGCAATTTTTAAATAATTTATAATAAAAACTAAGATTGTAAATAAATTTTAAATTTTTAGAAATCAATTATGTATTTGTCTGCGTATTGAATGAGAGAAATATTAAAATAGAAATTAATATTCTTTTATACCGACAATTTATGAGGCGCAATATTTTGCGCTCCCATAGTTGCAATTAATTTCTTGCAATATAATAAATTTCAATTAACAATTAGTTATTTTTCATCAAAATATTAAGAAAAATTTACTCTGAATTTCTCTCCGAATGTATTCATAATTTTTTGTAAAACGCTTTTATTTTCAATAAATTGCCTAAGAGCTGCCCCCATTGAATATTATTATGAACTATAAATTTCATACAAATTATATAAATTTGTATAGATAAAAACATAAATGTTGCAATTCAATATTACCAAACCTATAAATAAATTTTTTTTTTTTTTGTATTTTTTGAACCTTTTTATTGAAAAAATATGCGTTCCCAGTTTTACTATAGACTTAAAACCTTTTTGACTCCTATATTATATACATAATTGCTAATAAAACAGAAAAGTCCTATAATTTTTTTTTTATTTTTTCATCGTAAGATTAATTTATAATTATGTATGCATGATTTTTTATTCAATATATATATATATATATAGATATATGTACATATTTTTTTATATAAAACGTACATATATACAAAATTTTAATATTTATAGATCAATCCAAAAATCATTGTTGTAGAAAATATTTAGATTTTTGTTCTACTTTTAATCTTGTCAATTTTTCAATACAATAAACAGGTCAAACCTATCAACAATATTCAATATTTTGTACCTACGTTATTTGTACATAAAATACTTTAAAAAAATATACTCAAATACTTATACTGTATAACAATTACATTTTTTATTCCACATTCTTAAAAAAACGAAAACCGAAAAAAAATATAAGTATTTGAAAACCATATTGCAATATGATAATAAATTTCGTATTTTAAATGCATTATCAAGATTTAAAATTTACAAAAAATAAGAAAGGAAAAACAAAAAACCATAATGGTCCTATATAGTATAGGACTAACCTCTCAATTATTTATTAAGTAAATCGAAAATTATCACGAAATTCCTTGTTTTTTTTTTTCTTCTATATTTTCTTTAGTTTTAAATGTAGGAAAAATCCATAGGTTCACGTAGGTATATATAGTTTATAGAGTAGAGAGTATATAATGAATAATCCAAAAACAAAACAAAAATGCATTCAAACCTAATATATATTAAATCAATCTTAAAATAAATATAGTGAAATAATGAAATTTAAGGTTGACTGGCCTAACTTTGAGACGTTCATAAAAATATCAAATTATATACGAATATAATATGTACGAATATGTACATATGTACGAATGGAAATAAAAATTCCATAGCATTAATCTGTCGTTTTTGTTATGGCGATAACAAAATATGTATATTATATATGGTGTCTATGATTCTGACATTTTTAATATTTTTATATATATAGGGTGTCGATATATAATGCGAATTGTCAACATAAATATTATATTAGAATAAAATGTGATTTGAAATTATTGAAATTAAAATAAAACTAACTTGTTATAAAGTATTTTTCGACGGAAATGAAAAATTTTCACATTGTATTTTTAATATTAAAGTTATTAAAAAATAAAGGGTACAATATGCGTTCAATTTCAACAAATGATTTCGGAGAACGTACAATATTCGTTCGAACTGTTATAGAAACCTTATTTTATTAATGTTTAGTAAAAGTTATTTATATTATACAACGAATTTTTGTTAATATTCATACTGGAGTTGCGATTTTATTATACCATTCAGTAGTTAATGGGGTAAACAAACAAAAATACTGAAATTTAACTTGTGAAATTAAAAATTATATATGTAGGTAACTTTACTATTTTATTTTATACCTTTTCTTTCTTTTTAAATTCTTATACAATGAGTGAATTGAGTTGTTACTTAATTAAATTATCATGAAAAAGTGATCAGTGTAACATTTTTGCTTTTTTGTTTGTTTCATTGTTTCTTCTCTTTTCACAAACTAGGTATATATTTATTTATTGATTGGCATTATATAGGTGGTTGACATATTGAAAATACTGTCAATATTTATATTATATGATCGTTATATTTTTGTACTGCAAAAAAAACAGACCCTACGAAGAAATATAAGTTGGAAAACAAAAGGGAAAACAGAAATCTGATGAGATCAACAAATAATCGGTCAAATATTGAACATTTTCTGAATGATATTTACAAATTTCAATTAATTTATTCATGGTTTAGTGAAATGGTTCAATTAAATAATGAAAATTTTCTTGTACACTTTTTTCAAATTTCAAGATTCTAGGAAACAGAGTTAATTTTAAATCTGAAATTAATATAGTTCCATTAAAATTACAAAAATTGAAATTTGTTGTGATCACAATACCTCCCCCTTATTGAATTGCAATTCAAACGGCAAAACGACAAAAAAAAATTTAAATGAAATATTGGCAAATTATTATTGTACTCAAAGTATATGTAAATCTTTGTATACTACACCAATTCATAATAAAATTCACTCTCCATATATCATGTTTTAAAAAAAAAAAATGCAATTTTACAATTTAGTTTTTTTATTTTATGACTTTTTAGTAAACCCTTTTTTATAGATATTTCTATATATGAGTAGGTACAGAGCTATTAGCCAAACAAGAAAACAAAAAATTGAAATATTATCGCTGCATTTATTCATTAAATGCATAACTTTTCAGCTATAACTTAAATTCAATTAATTTAACCTGATAGCTGACCTACTTTCTTGAAAGCTTTAATTAAGACCTCATATATTTTATTATATATACAAGTACTATACAGTATACATGGTTATTAATAATTGATGTAGGTATATAATACCAGTATATGTATTTAATATAAATGATCATGATGTATTTCACTTAAATACTTTGTCGGTAGTAATTAAAATAATTTGTAAGAAGAAAAAAAAAAACAAAAAACCTAACCATATTATTCTTTTATTTTATGTCGTTTTATTTTGCCTTTTCAAACTATACAAAACAAACTGAGTATAAAATATAAATAAAACCGAACCTAGAAAACCAATAAAAAATAACAAAAAAATAAGAAACTATCAAATAAAATTAAAATTACAAGTATATAAGAAAAATTCGAAAAAAAAAAAAAAATAATAACAAAAATTTATAATTTATAATATAAAAAGAAAATTAAAATTAAAATAAAAAAAAACAAAATTATTTCACTTACTTTGGTATTAGCAATTCTTGGTTCATCACCGATAGCAACAGCATATACTTCAATAATATAAGTATCAATACCACATTCACGATCCAATTCATTTGCTGTCGATAGTATACCAAGTTTTGTATCAATTTCAAATAAACGTTCAACTTGTTTATTACCATTAAAGCTTGTTACATTTGTTATATAATATTCAATTGCATCATCATCTGAATTAATACGAGCATTGACCGTCAATATACTTGTACCAGGTGGTTCATTTTCAAGTACTGAACCACTTTGTTCATTTTGTATAAATATTGGTATTAAATTATTACCATTTGTTTTTGATAATAATTTCATATTATTTATTGATGAACTTGATGTTGATGATGATGATGATGATAAAGATCCAGTAGTTGTTATTGATAATTTATTTGGCATTATTAATGTTATATATGCATCTGAACTTTTACGTTCATTTTGTACAGCTTCATCGGTTGCTTTTATTGCTAATTGATAACGTATTTCTGGTTTATCAATTGTTTTTTGTAATGTTATTGCACCAGTATTACGATTTAATTTAAATAATTCTGAATTACCATTAACCATTTCATATGTAACTAAACCATTTGTACTTGAATCTAAATCTTTTGCTTTAACATACATTATAATATTTGATAATTGATTTGTATGACTATAACCTGATGATGATGATGATGATGATGATGATGATGTTTTAAATTTTTTATTATAATTTAATACAGATTCTGGTAATATTGCTGCATTCATTGATACAAAAATTGGTGCATTATCATTAATATCTTCAACAATAACAGTAACAAGTTTTTCAGCTGATAATCTTTTACGAATATTTTCAGCTTGATCAATTGCTACAACTGTTAATCGAAATGTATCAATTGTTTCTCTATCAATTTTCTTTAAAGTATATATAACACCAGTTGTTGAATTTATTTCAAAATGTCGTAAATTATCTTCGGGTTCTTGTTTTGATATATAATAAGAAACTTTTCCATTTAAACCAGAATCAGGATCTTCAGCATTAATTGTAACAATTGGTGTTTTAATTGGTATTCCTTCACGTATTTGACGTACTATAGCTGTATTTGGAAAACTTGGTGGATTATCATTTTCATCTAATATATGAACTGTAAATATTATTGTTGATGATAATTTTGGATTACCACCATCTGATGCTGTTATATTTAATGAATATGATTGTGTATCTTCATAATCAAGTGTTTTATGTAAATATAATGAACCAGATTTATTATCAATATGAAATGTATCTTTACGATTACCGGCTGATATCGAAAATGTCACCTGACTATTAATACCTAAATCAGAATCAGTTGCTTTAAAATGCATAAGTTCAGTACCGATTGCTGTAGTTTCTTTAACAAAAATTTCTGTATTAGTTTGTAGAAATTCGGGTGCAACATCATTTTCATCTAAAACTTCAATTGTTACTGTTGCTGAACTACTAAGTTGGGTTTCTAAGCTAGCATCACGTGCTACAATTATCAATTTATAAATTGATTTAGTTTCGCGATCTAATTTTGAAGCAATACTAATTTGTCCAGTTGCACTATCCAAACTAAATTTTCCATCTTGATTACCATTTTCAATATTATAATATACATCACCATTCAATCCCTCATCTAAATCAATTGTAAATACATGTATAACTGGAGAACCAACATTGGAACCTTCTGATATTTGAACTTTATATGGTGCTCTAACAAATTTCGGTGGATTATCGTTAACATCCGTAATGAAAACTTTTACTTTAACTTTATCAATTAGTCTATTATTACCATTATCACTTACAACCGCTTCAAATTCTAAATAGTTATGACCATTCTTTTTAACTAATTCTTCTCTATCAAATGTATGAAGAGTTTTAATGAAGCCATTTCTTGAATCAATTGAAAAGTCAAGTTCATTTGAAGCTAAAAAATATGTTAATTCAGCGTTACGTCCGATATCATTATCATGTGCCGTTAATTTTCCGACAAATGAATCGGCTGGTTCATTTTCCGGTATCGAATATACAAAAGTTGAATTTGAAAATTTTGGTGCATTATCATTTTCATCAATTACATGTATAATTAGTGGCACAATTGATGATCTCGGTGGAATTCCATGATCTTTACATATTACTGTTAAAGAATAATAGTCTTTTTCTTCGCGATCAAGCTCTGATTTAACATATAAGTAACCATCAGGAAATATACCAAATTTATCTTCAGAATTGCCTTCAAGTATAAAATAATCTACTTTGCCATTTGATCCCAAATCAGCATCGGAAGCTGATAAAGCAAAAAATCTAGTATTAACTGATGTACCTTCTAATAATGATGTTTCATAGGACGTGTGATCAAATACTGGAGTATGGTCATTAACATCAGTAATCGTAAACATAACAGTTGTTTTTGATAATCTGTTCGGCTTACCACTGTCAGTTGCTTGTAATTCAACATGCAATATTGTACCAGGATCAGATTGTAAAGGTCTATTCAAATACATCACACCAGATGTTTTACCTATTTTAAATTGATCATTCGGATTATAAATTATACTGTATGTTATTTTACTATTAACACCGGAGTCACGGTCAATTGCTTTACAAATATGTATTTCTTGACCAACAGCCATATTTTCTGGTAAATATATATCTTCAAAATCTTGTGTAAAAATTGGAGCATTATCATTTAAGTCTCCAATTGAAATATTAACAGTTGTTTGTGCAAAGATTACTCCAGCCCTTGCTACAACTGTAACGCTATAATTAGAAATTTCTTCTCGGTCAATATGCTTGGCAGTTGTTATAACTCCACCATATTTACTTATTTCAAAATTTTCCAATGGATCACCATACGTGATTAAATATTCAAGACCGGAATTACTTGGAAAACCGGAGTTTAATCGTATCTGAGAGTCAGGTTTAATTTGAACTTTTCCCACTTCACGACCAATACTTGGAGATTCATTACTATCATCTTCCATTATATTAAAATTATATCCCAAATGTGAATCAAAATCTAAGATTTCCATTTGTGATTTTTTAATTACTTCGACTATAGCATTTTTGTGAGCTTTTCTATCACCTCTATCTTTTGCTAGAACTGTTAATGTATATGAAGATTTCTGTACATTACGAAAATTTTTGCGTAAGGTAATTTCACCACTAATACCATCTATTGCAAACAATCCATCTGCATCATTTTCTAAACTATAGGTAATTAAAGCATTATCACCTTCATCTTTATCAGTAGCTGTTACTTTTACTAATTTTTTGCCATTGCTCGCATCGTCCGGCAAACTAACAAAATAATGTTTTGGATAAAATTCGGGCTCATTATCATTTATATCCCCAATATTTAAATATACAGTTGCAGTAGATGATTGCTGAGGATTACCTTGATCTTTGGCTATAACTAAAATTTCATAAAATGCATTCTTTTCACGATCTAGTTTCGCCTTAGTTATTAATTGACCAGTTAGCATATCAATACCAAACATGTCAGAATATTTCTGTTTGACCAAAGGGGATAGCGAGTATGTAACACTACCATTTGTACCTTGATCATGATCAGTAGCTGTTAGCATTGCAACAACAGTTTGTGGTGGTAAATTTTCAGTCAATGTTATATTTACTTGTGACTGTGAAAATTTAGGTGCTTCATCATTTTCATCTAAAATATTTACTTTTAATTGAGAATAAGCCCATTTCGGATTTGGACCTCCATCATGTGCGGATATATTCATTACAACTGTACCTTGAACCTCACGATCTAATGTAGCTTGTGTTGTTATTAAGCCGGAATAGTGATCTATTAAAAACCATTGTTTTGTATTTCCCGAAACAAAATCATAATAAATTTGGGCATTAACACCGGTATCTTCATCAGTAGCAGTTATACTTGCAACATAGGTGCCTAAAGGAGAAAGTTCACTTAAAATGGCTGAATATTCAGATTTTTCAAAAACTGGTTCGTGATCATTAACATCGTTAACATGTATTATTAAATAAGCCGTGGAAGTTCTTGGTGGGGAACCTTTGTCTGTGGCTACCACAGTTAAATTGTATTTGCTGATTTCTTCCCGATCAAGTACACCATTTACACGAACAATATCAAAACTGGGATTATTTTCTAAACGAAAATGTTGTAATTCGTTACCGGATATTATTTGTATATCTGTTTGACCATTTAAACCTTCATCTCTATCTTCAACAGAAACAGCAGCCACCACACTTCCATTCACTGCATTTTCGTCAACAGTAGCAAAGTTCCCGGTAGGTGGAAAATATTGAAATCTAATAATTGGATCATGATCATTTGTATCCAATAAATTAACGGTAACGTAAGTTCGACCATCTTGTTTGGGTTGACCGTGATCTCGTGCAAAAACAGTAAAAACGCAACTATTTCAAAATTAGAAAAATAACAAATATTTTAAAGTTAATAAATATTTTCCAAATATTGAAGTATGCAATATATTAAATAAACAATAAAAGAACATTTACCTTTTAGTACAGCTTCCTTCCTTTTTGGCATATGGCTGGCAATTTTGGCAATTTAACCTTTGAGTAGTAGAAATCACACCTGTTTCTGGATCAACAGTGAATTGCATTTCACTATCTGACAGATAATATGTTATTTTACTATTATCTCCAAGATCTTTATCAGAAGCCATTACTTGAAGAACAGGTGTTCCCGGTTGCACGCTTTCATTTAGTGAAACTACATAATCACTATGATCGAATATTGGTGGGTTATCATTAACATCAAGTATTGTTACATTAACTTGTAAATACCCATATAAATCTCCACCATCACGTGCAGATATATTCAATTGGTAAAAACTTTGAGTTTCTCGATCAAGCTTTCCTGTAGTTTCTAATTGTAAATATGAAACATCACCTGAAGGATTTGTTGAAACAGCTAAACGAAATTTTTCATCATGATTTCCATCAACAATTCTATAATCATCTGTAACACTATTTTTGCCAATATCACGATCAGTTGCTGCATCTAATAATACTCTTGTTTCTGGTGCTGCACTTTCAGAAAATGATACAGCAATACTTGGTTCTGGAAATACTGGTGCATTATCATTAATATCTAATACCGTTATTCGAACTTCAATTGGATATGTTGGTTGACTTGATAATACAACAAGATCATAACGATCTTGAACATCTTCTCGATCCAATATAATATTAGTTTTAATTTCACCAGTATTTTGATCTAAAACAAATTCTCGTGGTGGCTCATTGAAACGATATGTAAAACCGGGTTTCGTTGGTATAAAACCGACAACCGTACCACGCGGAAGTCCTTCGAGAACTTCTAATTGAACTCGTGTATCGACAGAACGTGATTGCATTTGCGAAGTACCATCACCATCTGAATTCCGTCGTTTTTGAAAAATGCCACCATATTGTGATGAAAAATTATTACTAAATAATAAAGTTGATGAAGATGAAACATTACTAAATCCTGGTCCTGGTCCTGGCACATGAACAGCATTAATTATTATTTGATTAAAGCAAATAAATTTAAACAGCCATATTATTTCTAATTTTAAAACCATTCTGAATACCGAATTAAGCTATAGACATAGATAAGCTTTCGGTAACAGAATTTTTATTTGTTTTTGATAAAACAATTTTAATAATTTCGTTATCTTTATTGTTAAAACATTCAAATTGCAATTTGTTAATTTTATTTGGTTAAAAGATATTGTAGAATAAATAAATCACTTATCCATTTTACAATTTGGAGAATTTTCTATCCAAATGGTTCTGAAATAAAAGAAAAAGAAATAATTTTTATTATTTAAATTTGTTGTTGTTTTTAAAGTCATATTTAATTTAATCTAAAATCTCATACAAAAAATTTTTTCTATTAAATATCAAGAACAAAGATTAATGTAGAGAAACTATGATCGAAATATGAATTGGGTACAAAATATTCTGAAATAAATTCGTTAAGGCCAACTCATTTAATAAAATTTATTGTGACGTGGAGGACTTCTTGTATATAATATAATTTTTAATATCATTCAATATCATTCAATAATATTACTAAGCGTATCGGATACATTAAGGGAGATATTGCTTTAATACCACATCAAGTTTTTCAAAGAAGCAAATTTTTTTGTGTTGGAACAACGCAAAGCAACTGATATCTGTCGTTATCTGTACGTTGTTGTATTTCAAATTCATCTGAACCGATTTTTAAAACAAATTCATACCTGACTTTATATTTATAATGGATTTGGGGAATTGATCATCTATGGAGGCTTATTTATGTATAACAGGTGAGACAACTTTTGATAAGGATTTTATTTAAAAATTCATATATTATAAGCTCTATCAGATAATGAAACGAAAAAAAATTTTTTTTCAGGTTGAAATCTGAACTCTACAATTCAATTTCATACTAGTTATAATTTTGAAATGTCTGACCATACCTCTAAGAAGAAGTTAAAGTATTTATGAACAATTATTAAAAACAAACATTTACGGAAAGTGAAATTTTTAGAGGTACATTACCTATAGGAAATAACTAATTTTCTGGAAATTCATAATTAAAAAAAAAAATACAATACATTCGATTATGACCTGATCACATCAAAATTTTTTTTTTGATTTTCCTGATATCGGCTATGATTGAGTCCTGCAATCTGTGATCAAACCAATTAATCAACCCAATCAAAAATTTTTAATCCCAACCCAATAAAATATTTTTAACGAAATAAATTCTTACATTAAAAATAACTACAATTTAAAAAATTTATTTTATGAAAAGAGGTGGACATTGTACATACATACATACATACTTAATGTATACATATAGTAAGTTGTGAACAGAAGTTAAATAATTATAATTTAGTGGTTTTTAACTGTTCCAATTCTTTTCATCAATAATTTATTGAGCAACAAAAAAAAAGCAAGAAAATTAAAAACCATAATTTATAAGTTTTATATAAAAATTTATCGATAATTGAAAATCATTAATAATTAAGGTGGTCAAAATAGAAAGGCTTCTTTTATTTAAAAAAAAAAAAAAAAACAATTTTTACATTCTAAATTGGGTTACTTATTACTACTACTTTTACTGTAGTCACAAAAAATATTAAAAAAAATATAGAGAATTAAGTGGGTTAAATATTTTAATCTTAAATTCATCAATGGTATTCTAGCCAATTGAAAATTCGATTTTTTTCTCTTAACCATAATAGATTATCCAAAAATATGCAATAAAAGAAAATATTTTTTTTTTTTTTGGAAATATTTTTATGATCTTGGTATATGACTCAGTCATTAAGAAAAAATATGGTTGTCCTTTCATTTGAGAGAAAAAAAAATAGAATATTTTGTTTTTCTTCTTCATTTTTGTAAAGCCTGGTTATCATCACAATTTTTTTAAAGGATATTATCCTAAAATATAAAATTGATTGTAATAAAAAAAAATTGTTTGTTCCCTTGAAACCAAAATAAAATTCTAAAGGAAATTTAATAAGTGTTGTGTGTATATTTTCTTTAAGACCAAGGGAATTTAAGGTTTTCATATTCTTAAAAAGTACAAAAATAAAAAAAAAAATCTTAGATTATAATCAAAAATTTAAACTTTAAAAAATTCTTGTTTTTTATTTTCTAATTTTTATTTTTTTTTTTGTCCTTTTGTTTTTTTGCTTTTGCCGTTGAACTTCAGTTGTTTCGATTTTTCTTTCTTATTCTTCCTTGTTTTTTTTTTTTTTTATAATCAGCTTGACTGTACTTTTCTAGTAATAAATTATCAATATTGGTTAAACTATAACTAATAAATAACAGAGAAAAAAAAAACAAGCAGAAAAACATGGAAAAAAAACCGTAAATAAAAAAAAATATGAGGGAAAAAACAAATTTTCGAAAAAACAGAAAAAAAAAAATTATATTTTAAAAAAATAAAAGAAAATCCTCTTTTTTTTCTTTTCTTTTTATCTAATCGAAGAGAATGACACGAATCGATTAAGGTTTAAGTATTTCAACCTTTATACTCAACCTTTAAATATAGAAAACACAAAAAAAAAAAAAAAAAAACTAGAAATGTATAAGAACTCAACACGAGCAAAAAGAAAAAGACAAAAAATATTATACTTGTTTCAATCTTACATTAAAAATTTCTCAAATTTATTCTAGTTTTAGAATTTCGTTTATATTATAAAATTCTGAATTATTTTCTTTCTCAACTTATTCCTTCGAATATTTTGGTCAAAAGATTCGAAAATGACATTTTTTCATGTATAAATATTGAAAAGAGAGAAAAAAAATTTGTAAACTACTGTTCTCACTAAATTATTTTTTTTTATTGTTATTTAAAATTTGACAAAAGAGAACAATATTTTTTTTTTGTTACTCATACACTTACTGCTTTAACATTGTTATTTTTAATTTAATTGTTAATTTTTTTTTTTTTTGTAAAAAATTTAAAAATTATGAAAGAAAATCAGAACAAAACAACAAATAAAATGTCAAAATTTAATCTCTTTTTTTTTGTTTTGTTATTTTTCGTTACTGAAGTCTTCAATGTTAAAAAACAAAAAAATCCTCATCCTGTCAATGTCAAAATTTTTTATTGTCAAGTTTTGTATTGAAATCAATTCAAATCAATTGTGAATGGTGAATAAATAATAACACATTTCTTGTGATAAGTTATTTTGTTTCTTTAGATTTATTTATAGGACACTGTGATATTTGCCTCATATTCCCAAATGTAATATTTATGAAAGATTTTTTTTATAAATTTAACTAAATTACAATCGAATTTACGAGTATAATACAAAATACTGATTGAATTTATTCAAAAATCCTGATTAAATTTCAAGAGAATTTTTTGAAATTATAGAAACTTGTAAAATTTACACTTAAAATTCTTTTAACATTTCATGAATATTGAATTAACCCTGAATATTTAAACGTAAATGATTACAAGGTGATTTTTGGTTGTAAGTGTAATTCATTGCAGTCGCCAATAATTGCCAAATTAATTCAATTTAATTTGCCATTTCACTATACGGAAACTAAAGAACCAAGAACGTTTCTAAATTATTATTACTTATTATTAGTTTAGTAATCAATTTTTTTAACGTTTTGAACTTGCAGAAATCAAGTCATCGATCAGATAGATGAAATATCGAATAATTTGACACTCATGTTAGTTTCTTATATCGACTATATTAAATCGATTTCAATTTTATAAACAATATTGAAACAATAATTCAAGCCGAAATATAAATTTCCTATAGAATTAATAATAGACGGACCTCCTACAATGAAAATATTACAAAATGAAATTTTATTCAAAAAACAAATGTCAGTAATGTAATTTGTCGGTGCTAATACTAAAAAATTCATCTCAAATTCCAATTTTTTCTATATTTTCTTTGAATTACCCGTTATGTATAATGGCATACATACTAACACACTACTACTGAACTTTTTATAACACTATTATACTGCAATAAATATTTTTTTTACCTAACTCATATGCATTTTTTTCTTTTTTTGGGAATTTGAAATATTTTTTGAACTTTGTTAAGTAAACATAATGCGACAAAAATGTGTTTTGTATCGTATTACTCATATAAGAGTGTGTAATTTAAGAACGTGTAGAAAATATTATATTTTGTATAATATTTCAATTGTCGATATCATCAAAACAGCACTCTCTGTTTGACAATATTTTAAGGTATCGATGCGGAATTAACAAACAATAACTGTCCCTTTTTTTTTTAAATATTTTCTGATAAGAGAAAAGAAATTTATTTTTGCTTTTTTTTTACTTTTGATAAAATCTTATTAATTATATACTAATTTTTTAAATAAAAACAGGACTTTGATTTTATAATTATACCAGGTAGAGAATTTTTATTTTTGTCCTACATATTTTCTTTTTTCTTAAATAATATTAAAAAGGAACGCATTATAAGAAAGGTGATAGAGATTATTTTTTTGATAAGAAAAAATTTCTAATAACAAAAATTTTTTACATTAATTTTATATTATTTAATTGCGTTATTTAAATATATTTAAAAGTGTATATATATTGACAATGTTCACTTATATGTGTGTAAGCAGGTTTTTGAAATCGAATGTTATTCACGATTTTTGTTTAATAAATGATAAATGACGTTCTCTTTGTTTTATGAACAAAGATTTATTGACGTTTATACATCAAAATTACGTCGAATTTTAAGCAAAATTCTAGATTCGGTTAGCTGTAGAAGAAACCATTAAGCCGTAGAGCAAAAATTTTGAAATTTTAAAGATAAAGAAGAGAAATTAAAAATTTATTCGAAATTTTCATTTAAAATTGAATTTAAATTTTAAAATATTTTTAATGTCAAAAATTTTTTCATTATTCTCAAATCCTATAGTTGATGAGAATATTAATATTTTTCAACATTTAATTTAGAAACTTAAAAATAAAAACAAAATTTTTTTAACTTAAAAAAGAAGTTACTAAAAAAAACATCGAGGCAAAATAAAAATAGGAAGTACAGAAAAAAAAAATTATAATTAGAAGAAGTGAAATAAGAAAAAATTCAGAAAAAAAAAATAGAAAAAAAGTAAACAAGAACA